TATTTCCCAGCTCTGAGCTGCATTCTGTCTGCCTCTTCAAACTCTGTAGATATTTCCCTTTGAGGAAAGACTATTTGTGTCCAATACCCTCATCAGATGCTGACAACCTAGGGAACTAATTCTGTTACTGGTGTCTTAGGAATATATTTGACTCCTGCTATGTTTACCCTAATCATCAGTTTCTTGTTTTACAGACTGGCTTTAACTTAATCTCCTGTCTTTCAAAAGTTTTAACAGTTGCTGATTAGACTTGTATAAAACCCAGCCAAAGCAACCCCTTGCTGTTGGATTTTGAAAAGTCCTAATTCCATCTTACATAACAGTGTTGTTTGTTGCTGAGATGAAATTGGCCAGCTGTGTTAATGACCATGTCCAGCTATCAGATGAAGATTGTTGCCAAATTACATCATAACCTAAGCCACAGTGATAGTACCACAAAGGAAAAGCCAAATGGAACATTCCCCCTCATATAAATATGTTATCTGATGGGGAGAAATGAGCCAACCAGAACAAAATAACCTCCAGTTAAAGTGGACAGTAACTTTACAGATGGGCAGTGGTTGTAATTTTTTTTTAAATCATTTTATTTGGGATTGTGAATTTTTAACTGTGTTCTCTGAACTAGCTTTGTTTGTGAAGGACTTGACCCTAAAATGCTAAGTGTTCTCCATCATGCCTGCCTAGGGAGTAGAACTAGTTAGCATGCTCAGCTGTTCCAAAGAAAAGGTTGGAGATTTGAATCCACCCAGAGGCAACTAAGAAGAAAGCCCTGGTGATGTACTTCCAAAAACTTCAGCCATTGAAAACTCAATGGAGCACAGTTCTTTTCTGATACACATGAGTTGGAATCAGCTCAATGGTAACTGGTTTATATTTTCTTCAGGAACTTTAAAGTCTTTTGTGAAAATAAGGTATTTGGCTTCTCTACCCACTCCCCAAGATGTTAAAAGGGAGATTTACTATAGCTTTATTATCTGTTACCAAACCAAAATCACTGCCATCAAGTCAGTTCCATCTGATAGCAATACTGTAGGACAAATGGTTGTGCAACACAAAGAGTATAATCAATGGCACTGAGTCTATACACGTAGAAGTTGTTGGAGAATGTTTTGTTGTGTATATTGTTGTCCAAATTGGGGGGAAAATTACATGAATAACAATGACTATGGGGAAATTGATAATGGTAAAGATTGTGCAACTCTTCTTGATATGGTTGAACTATTGAATTGTATGATATGTGGATGAAGTATCAATAAAACTATTTTTTTTTAAATGGGACAGAATAGAACTGCTGCTTAGGGTTTCCAGGACTATAAATCTGCAGAAGCAGACAGCCTCATCTTTCTCCTACGAACAGCTGGTAGGTTTGAACTGCTGACTTCGCAGTTAATAGACCAATGCTAGATCCACTATGCTACCAGGCTTCTTTATTTACTTTAAATCACCTATTAGCTATTTTTTTAAAACATTTTATTAGGGGCTCATACAGCTGTTATC